TCAATGGAACCCTAGCAGCACAGCAACTAAGAGATAGCATAGATAAATGGAACTTCATAAAACTAAAAAGCTTCTGTTCATCAAAAGAAATGGTCTCTAAACTGAAGAGAACACCCACAGAGTAGGAGAAAATACTTGCCAGCTACACATCAAAGGACTGATAACCAGAATATATAGGGAACTTAAAAAACTAAATTCTCCTAAAACTAATGAACCAATAAAGAAATGGGCAAGTGAACTAAACAACTTTCTCAAAAGAAGAAATTCAAATGGCCAAAAAACACATGAAAAAATGCTCACCATCTCTAGCAATAAAGGAAATGCAAATTAAAACCACACTAAGATTCCACCTCACCCTTGTTAGAATAGCCATCATTAGCAACACCACCACCAACAGGTGTTGGCGAGGATGCAGGGAAAAAGGAACCCTCTTACACTGTTGGTGGGAATGTAAACTAGTACAACCACTCTGGAAAAAAATTTGGAGGCTACTTAAAAAGCTAAACATTGATCTACCATATGATCCAGCAATACCACTCTTGGGGATATACCCAAAAGACTGTGACACAGGTTACTCCAGAGGCACCTGCACACCCATGTTTATTGCGGCACTATTCACAATAGCCAAGTTATGGAAACAGCCAAGATGCCCCAGTACTGACGAATGGATTAAGAAAATGTGGTATCTATACTCAATGGAATTTTATGCAGCCATGAAGAAGAACGAAATGTTATCATTCACTGGTAAATGGATGGAGTTGGAGAACATCATTCTGAGTGAGGTTAGCCTGGCCCAAAAGACGTTAGATCAAGGGCAAACACAACAATGGGATTGGACTTTGAGCACATGATAAAAGTGAGAGCACACAAGGGAGGTGTGAGGATAAGTAAGACACCCAAAACTAGAAAGCATTTGTTGTCCTCAACGCAGAGAAACTAAAGCAGATACCTTAAAAGCAACTGAGGCCAATAGGAGAAGGGGACCAGGAACTAGAGAAAAGGTGAAATCAAAAAGAATTAACCTAGAAGGTAACACACATGCACAGGAAATTAATGCTAGTCAACTCCCTGTATAGCTATCCTTAACTAGCAAAAACCCTTGTTCCTTCCTATTATTGCTTATACTCTCTCTACAACAAAATTAGAGATAAGGGCAAAATAGTTTATGCCGAGTATCGAGGGAGAGGGAGGGGGCGGAGTGGGTGGTAAGGGAGGGGGTGGGAGCAGGGGGAGAGAAATGACCCAAGCATTGTATGCACATATGAATAATAAAACAATAAAAATTAAAAAAAATAAAAAATAAATGTTCTTACAATATATCATAGTTGAATTCACCCCTTCCATCCTTCTTTATCTCTTCCCTGGCCCCATTCTTGCAATAGTTTCAGCATGTCTCATTTTTTCATTTACATACATGTGTACATAATATTTCTACCATATTCACCCTCCTATAGTCTTTGCTTATATCCTCTCCCCTGCCACTTGTACCAACCCCCAGACAGGACTTGTTTTGCCTTTCTAGTCTCCATTTTTTTTTTTTAATTTGTTTAAAATAGCTAGCTATGCAGGGTGTTACATTGTGGCATTTCCATGTATATATGTGAAACCCAAATTGGTCCACCCTCTTCTATTTTTCTCCTATCTTAGTCCCCTCTAGGCTTTTATTTTGAAAATTACATCTAAGTTTCCTGAATTGATTCTTTCAAAGCCTCGTTAACTGCTTTTTTTTAGGCTTAAGTTTTGTTCAGTTTGTTGGTTACCAATGAAACAATTGAGGTGTTGTGTTTTTGTTTTGTTTGCAGTTGTTCTAAACTCGGGACCTTGAGCTTGTTATGCAAGTGCTCGCTCTGCCCTTTGAATCACATCTCCAGCCCTTTTTTGCATTAGGTTGTTTTAAGATACAGTCTGACACTTTTTGCCCAGGGGCCCATGATCCTCCTACCCATGCTTCCTCAATAGCTAAGATTATAGACATTCACCAGTATACATAGTACGTTTGTTGAGATGGGGTCTGGCCTAAGACAGTGATCCTCCCAGTCTCCACCTCCTGAGTAGCTAGGATTACAGGGGTGAGTCACTGTATCTAGTTGTGTTTTCTGTTATTAATTATAACATTTATTTGAGGACATTGCTGATACTATTGAAGTAAAAGGAGTATTTTCTGGAAAAAGCATTTATATTCCTGAAGCTATTTACTTAAACTGAGAGTTATAAATATTTGCTGAACACTTCATTGGTAACATTGATACTGTAAATTTATTTGCAAATGGGATGTTTGTTTTACTGTGGGTGTGCTTTTGTGGTAATGAGATTTGCTTAAGTGGCTAGAAAACAAGGCTGTGGACATTTGTATTTTTAGCAGAAATAAGTTAGAAGCCATGTTCAAGTGGTAGAGCAAGTGCCTGTCTATCAAGCATGAGGCCCTGAGTTTAAAAAAAAAGATGAATTCTTGAGAATGAATGTAATAATGTATCAAAAATTGGATCATCATAGATGAGATCATGTTTTCCACTGGCACAATTATTTAATTGGAGGTCTCATTTCTAATTGAAGGTTCATCAGCAACCATAGCTATAAACAACACATAACACTCATCTAAGTTTATGAAATAGGTTTTAAATTGAGTTATTAGTTATTAACTCTTAGTAGTCAGCAACTCTTAGCCAAGGGATGCATCTCAGAATTATGTGGAGAGGTTTTCAAAGGCCTTTAAAGAATGATTCTGATGGTTAAGAACTATTACGGAAAAAAGGAATTGCCTACATTTTTGTTCATCATAAAAGCTAATATAGGCATGTCTATCCCAGAAGTTTCTGCATACAATTTTCCTTTGTTAGCAATTTCATTAGTAGAGAAATTAGTAAAGATGGATTCACCCCTAATATATATGGGTTATAGTGTGACTATCAGAGCAGTTCAGTGTTAATAAATTATCCCTTTAGACTTGGTCAGAAATTTAGTGCTGTAAGCTACTTTAATTACCTTAAATTACTGTCACTGAATCTTGTAATTGTAGAATTGAATAACTTGCCCTATATATTTATGGATCTTGGAAGATATTTACTGAGCATAAACCAGAGAATCTCTCCCTTATTTTGTTTCCCTATCTTAATCCTCTAAATTTAGTTTTTAGGGATACCTAAGTAAGGTGTAGACTTCACTTTTTCTTCTCCAACTGCAAGGGTAGGGATAGAATGATTTCAGTCATCCAAGAATTTAGATTGGCTCCTGATGGTCAGTATGAACAACATTTCTTACAAGTTGATTGTAACAGTTAAGAATAGCTAGCTAGCTTACTTTTCTTAGAACTTTGTGGTGGTGTATACTGTTAATAAGATCTCTATCTCTTCATTCCTGTTGCTACCACCATACTCTAGGCATTGGTAGTTTGATTAATCTACCCAAGTGTAATGTCTTTGGTAACTGTGTTCTCTTTAAGCAACAGCAACAACAACAAAATCTTTACCTCAGATTTCATTTTTCCAATCAAATAATAATGCGGCTGGTAGTTTGCAGGTTGCAGAACACCTAGTGCTCCCAAGAAAAAGAAAGAACTCAGCCACTTTGTCCCTACCTCAGCTTTGAAGTTATAGTCTCTTCATTTCTACTTCCTTGCACATGGTTTTATTTTGATGGTGGTGATAGTGGAGAGATCATTTAAGGAATAAGGATCCAGACCATTCAACTAGGTGGGTTAGGTTTTGAGCCAGACCAAACACTCCAATACCCTGTTGACAATATTCCAAACACCTGTTTATGTTGTGTGTAGTCTGTATATACCACACTTGTATATAATCACAAAAGAGTGTTAGTGTATGAGGATTTAGAAGTTGGATTTCATGAGCTCTTGGCAGTTTGCTGAGTGGAATAACCTGAAGTTGAAAGAACTTAAGTGATCAAGATATCCAGAGACTTGGAAGAATATCAAGGAATCCATACAAAGAAAAGACTTCTCCAGAGAGAATGGGAAGCTAAAATGATGACTGTTCTTAGGCATTGGACCTGTGCTTGTGCTCTCTTGCTCTCCTTTCCACTTTAATTAGAAGTTATGTTTTTGTTCTATTTGTAAATCAGTATGATACTTATGACCAATATAGAATAGATTTGTGATTTATGCCAAAGAAAATAAACATTTATAGATAAAAAAGAACCAAGGCTGTCAGTAAAAGTGCTATAACATGCTTTGAATTTCTGAAAACTTATCTTCCTATACTTCAGGGATTCTCAGTTGAGTGTGCACAGTAAAATCATCTGTGGAGATACTTGGTACACTTTACTCCTGAAAGACTTGAGTCAGAGTCTCCTCAACAGTTTGATTCCAGCCAATACTTCTTGAGTTTTTGAGATGTTCACTCAATAGTTAAGAATCTATTTTTCTCCCTAGTGCTAGATTAAAATTAAAATGTGAAAATTCTTAGTTAATTTTGTTGTTTTTTATTATGAAAATGTTTTGTACATTTCTTTTGACTATTATCTTCACATTTAAGAAATAGCAAGAAAGTGGAAAAATAGGGAAAATGGTGGTACTAAAAATTTATGGAATTCTGTAGTCTCTTCGTATAAACAGTCATCAGTAATTTGTTCTTAAAAATGTAGGTTTAAGCAAAGACCTTTTGGATCTACCTCAAAGGCCAAATAAAATTAACAGAACACATGTGAACTAAATTGGGCATTGATTGTTCCTAGTTTGTCCTTCATGTTGGCATTGAAAAATGATGTTTTCTAATCTCTCCCTATCTTTGCAGTCTGTACCTGTCCAGTCTTATTATTTTCCAAAGAGAACATTTCTTCTAGTCAGTTATTTTTTTCTGTTCACTTTTGTGTCTTCATTGCTAAAATGCGTTCTAGCAGAATTTAATAAGACCCATATTGATGGATATTTAGATTGGATGTATCTTTTTAAATGTTTCTTTTTATCCAAAGTTTCTATTTACATTGCTTGATGGTATTTTGAAGGACACTAATATTAATAGTTTTAACTTGAATATGTTTTCTTATAGCAGAAAAAGAAAAAGAACTTCAATCCACCAACACGTAGAAATTGGGAAAGTAATTACTTTGGGATGCCCCTCCAAGATCTGGTTACAGCTGAGAAGCCTATACCACTATTTGTTGAAAAATGTGTGGAATTTATTGAAGATACAGGTAGGATAGAAATATCAACACAAGAGTTTGATTTAAAAATTCACTTTTGATACAGCAACAGTTTGTCAAATGCTTGTGATTTGTTAAAGTTTGAAAGAGATTTATAATTCTTATTACTAGGATTCTCTTGAGTATTCACTCTTAAGTAACCATCTGATATTTGAAAGAAGTTTGCTCTTAACCAGTAATGCTTTTATTGGTCCTTTGTTGAACCTAATAAATGACTAAGTTGAAAGCTAAAATGTTAAACTTACTATATTATACTGCCACATCGTGATTTGAATCAGTAATTTGAAAGTTTTTATTATTTTTTAATCCAATTCTAATTTGTTTTACTTACGGGCTTTTTTTTTTTCCCTGTTAAAACTTAACAGCCATAGTTAAAGATGTGTAAAAGGCTGCTCATTCTATTTGTGTTCTTACTATTTATTCAGCAGTTCTAGCTGGATGTGATTTATATGCTTTGAGTAATGTTTTCAAGCAATGTGTAGATATCATTATTTTAAAAACAATCTTGGTCTTATGCTTATTTTGCCTAATTAAAAAAAAAAGTGGCCAATCAGATATGGAATAGAGGTAAAAGACCTGGGCATGGCTCAAGTGATATAGCACCTTCCTAGCAATTGCAAGACCCTGAGTTCAACCCCCAGTACCACCAAAAAAAAAAAAAAAGAATTGAAAAAATTTGTTGTGTTTGAGTATATTTAAAATAAACACAGATTAACCATGGAACCTTACTGATTAAATAGACTGCAGATTTTAAATGGTTAAAAACCATGACCAGGTAAGTTTTTGCTGTTCTTTATGTCTTTTTTGATATGTAAGTGTTGTTTTTTAAATAAAATTAGTATACTCATGTCATAGCTAAATAATCATGTACATTTTATATATGGCTTACCCTTTAGATATTAGCTGAGTTCTGTCCATAGTGGTTTATTTGATGAGGAATGGTGACTGTTAGTTTTAATAAGGGATTGAAATGTGGGGAAATACTATTACTCACTAGTATTGCACTTTAAATAGCATATATCTTTTTCCTTCAGCTAGTGAGTTAATTTATAGAGCCTATACTGTATATGCCATTATCGTTTCTTTTTTTTCTTCAACAAATGTTTGAGAAGTGTGTTTTAGGCAAGTTTCTTGTCTGTATTTCTGTTAATCTTTAATAACAGAAGTGCAAATATTTTTATAGTATTAACTTCCTGCTTTGAATTTAAAGAATTCTCATTTTCTGTAGTAATGAAATTAGGCCTTACTGATAAGACTGAGCAATTGGAAAATAATTTTCTTTAGTGATTGAAAAATAAAAAAATAATGATGGATTAGCATTTATTAATATAATGAAGTTTCCCACCATTTATTATTTTAGTTAAGAATTTGCATTTTCATAGGTAATTGATTTTCTTCAAGGAAATGACTTTCAGTTGTAAGATAAAAATGTAATTCTACTCCAATTTTTAACACAACTGGAAATAGTCTAGGTCAACTTATAGGTAATTCATATGTTTAAGTGCTTTGATAGAAATATACGGAGGTACTTAAAAAGACCAAGAATAGAATAGAAGATTAAAGCTAGTTCTTTTGTTGTTGTAGTATATTGCTTGGTTTTATTACTGATTTTAAAGCTGCTTATCAGTTTTAGCACAAATTTTTAGGTGCTTAAGAACGCAATACACATGCTGGATGTAGTAGTGCACACCTGTAATCCTAGCATTGGATAAACTGAGGCAGGAGGATAAAGAGTTGGAGGCCAGCTTGGGCTACATTGCAAGGCTCTGTCTTTAAAAAAAAAAAAAAAGTTTAATTTACAACTCTCAATATGGACTATAGCATAGCCATCTTTAAGGTTCAACTTGTAGTAATGGGAATATATTATACATACCCATTACTTTTAAAATATATTTTGCTTTTTTGTAGATTCTAAGGTACAGTGATACAAGGGACCAATATCCTCATTATAATCAGTTCTCTAGTTCAGAAGGCTACACTTTTGAACAACCTTAAAGAAAATACAGTGGCAGTTTAAAGAATCTGCTTTATTGTAATAATTTACATACAATAAATTCATCTATCATCTATTTTAATTATATAATATGAGGGGTTTGGGGATTTGTTTTTGTTTTGTTTTTTGGTGATAATTTTTTTGTTTTGTTTTGTTAATTGGTGATAATTTTTTTTCTAAGCAGGTACTCTACCACTTAAGCCACGCCTCCAGCCTACAGAATACCTTTATGGCAATGTAACCAAGTCGCAATCAAGTTACAGGTGATTTTCATTGCCCCCAAAAGCATCCAGTCTTTCATGATTATGCTTATTTATAATGGACTGGAAGTGTGGCTCCAGTGGTATGGTGCCTGCTCCAGTACTGTCCCCCCTCAAAAAAAAAAAAAAAAACAAGTTTACACATAAAGTGAGCTGTTAGATTTTTTGTTTGGTGGTACTGGGATTTGAACTCAGGATCTTACACTTGCTAGGCAAGCGCTGTACCACTGAGCCTGTCCACCAGCCCTTTGTTTGAAGTGTGTTGAGTATTTTCAAGATAGGGTCTTGGGAACTATTTGCCTGGGCTGGCTTCAAACTGCCATCCTCCTGATCTCTGCCTCTTGAGTAGCAGGTATTATAGGCATGAGCCATTGCCTTCCAGTCTTTTTTGTTGTTGTTTTACATGCTCTTTATCAGGTTGAGAAAGTGCTCTAACATTCCTGGTTCACTGATTTTTTTTTTTTTTTTTTTTCTCTCAAATGAGTATTGATTTAGAGCTACAGTTAAGCAAGAAGATCTGACCCATTTCCCTATGTATTAAAGAGTATTTTGAGAATAATTCTCTGCTCTTGGCTTCAGGAACTTTCATATATGTACAGTATTCAACCAGAGATTCCTAGGACTTTTCCACATGTCTCTTTCTTTGTGTATCTTGCCCACTATTTAGTATTATGCCCTACAAATTCTAGCTTTCTCAGCGTTTCTGAACTCCTGTCCCTTCCTCTTCTACTCTGGTAAGACTGTTGTAGTGTATTAAGTTTCTACCTCTCTTTACTAACACATACAACTCTACAGACACTAAGTTGGGCATTCATACAGCCTGCCTTGTTTGTTTTTCCTCATGGATCATAGTTTTGAGCTCCCTGTTCAGTGCCTAAAGAAGTGTTCCCTATAATTTTTTTTTGTGTGTTTTCAGTTTGAACTCAGGGTTTCATGCTTGCTAACACATACAACTCTACAGACACTAAGTTGGGCATTCATACAGCCTGCCTTGTTTGTTTTTCCTCATGGATCATAGTTTTGAGCTCCCTGTTCAGTGCCTAAAGAAGTGTTCCCTATAATTTTTTTTTGTGTGTTTTCAGTTTGAACTCAGGGCTTCATGCTTGCTAGCTACTCTCCAGCTCAATACATTTCAAAAACTTTTTAACTGGAGTTTGAAGTTGGAGCCTCACACTTGCTGGCAAGCATTACAAATTGAGCCATGCTTCCAGCTCTAATTTTTTTTAGTTGTTTACTTCTTGAGAGCAATTTCTATAGCAGTGAATCCTTCATGGTAGAAACTGTGTCTATTTGCTAAGTTCCAGTTAGGAAATGACTTGAAATATTAATGTAAGTTTAATGTAGACAGAAAAAGGTAGTGTGCAAAAAGAATGAGAAGAAGGGAAATGACTTTCAGGAGTTAGGATAATAAACCTGATAGACACAGGGGTGAAAAAAGACTTAAGAATGCCTCTCAGATTGCATATTGGGATGACTTGAAATTCCATTAGTGGAAATAAAAATTATAATACGAAAGCAGATTTGGTAGTTTCATGATGGATGCATAGTTTGGACATGTTAAGTCTTAAGGTGCCTGACTCAGTTGCATATATGACCATGGAGCTCTGGAAAATGTTTTGGTCTTTAGATACTTGCTTTGTTAATGGCCACTGTATGGATACTAATGTTTAATATGTATGTTTGTAGAATTCAGGGTCAATATTTAGAGACAAAAAGTTCATGAAAGAGAGGGGCCCTAAAACACTAAAGAGAAAAAAAATGTAATAAGAAGTGTGGTTATCAGCATTTAATGACTTAGAATGATTTTATTTTATATTTTTGCTTATTAAGGTGAAACTTATATACTTAAAACTAAACATTTTAAAGTGTATAATTCTGTGATGTTTAATGTGTTCATAGCATTGTCTAATTACCACCTTATTGAGTTCCAGAAAATTTTGGTTACCCCAAATAGCTCCTGTACCTTTGAAGAGTTACTTATTACCCCCTTTATCTAGCTCACCAATCTATATTCCATCTGTATGGGTTTACTTATTCTGGATATATCATAGAAATGAAATCATACAACATATGACCTTTAGTTCAGTTTCTTTCACTTAAGCATAATGTCTTTGAGATTCATCTGTGTTGTAGCATATTTCATTCTGTTGACATGTTACATTTTGTCTAATTTGTCATCATTTGGTAGACATTCAGCTTGTTTCCACCTTTTGGCTATTGTTTATTGTCAATAGTCTTGCTGTAAACATTGATATACAAATATTTGTGTATCTGTTTTCTGTTCTTTTGGTACATATCCAAGAGTAGAATGCTGTGTCATAACTTTTTAAGGAATTGTCAACTCTTTTCCACAGTGGATGCACTGATTTACATTTCTATAAGTATTGTATGAAGGCTCACATTTGTCCACATCCTCATGTTAATTCTCACCATCTTATCCCCTTTGATAGGGATTGCATTTAATCTTGTTTTTTTACTTACAGTACAGGCTTTTGAACTCAGGGCCTTGTGCTTACAAAGCAAGTGACATTGGTCTGTCGTTAAGTTCCTGATGTTCTTGTCTGGCTTTAGTATTGGAATCACACTGACTTCATAGAATGAGTTTGGAACTGTTTCCTCCTTTAGAATGGTATTTTAATGACGGTGTTAATCTGGTTTTAAAAGCTGTTATCTGGTTTTAAAAGCAGGCTTCAGAATCTGAGACATGCCTATTTTACAGACTTGGGTTCACTAATTTT